GAGGAGCTCTGGTAGCATAGTGCCTAAGGCACTTGACTGCTAACCAGAAGGCTGGCGGTGCAAACCCACCAGCCACTCCTCGGAAGGAAGGTTGGGCAATCTACTTCCGTAGTGATACTGCCTCGGAAACCCAAGGAGGACTCGTTATGAGTTGGGTCCAAATCGAGGGCACATAACAACTCCCTCTAACTCAGCCCACCTTAATAGTGAGCGTTACGCGCTGTTCTCCTCTCCTTTACAGTGGCCTCTCTGCTGAAAGGAAGACAAGGCATTTACACAGAGAACGAGAGACGGATGGGAGCCGTGATCAAGATCCGATTTTTCAAAATAATGCTCGTTTTAATGATTTGGTAAAGTTTCTCAACTTTTTGGTTTGTTTGTCTTTTTCTTTGCTAGTGGGATGGGATCTGGAAACAACTTGCCACTTTGTCTGATTGTGACCCGGAAGTCCCAGGGGAAGAGTCTTTGGAAGGGAAATCTTTGAACCTGTGAGGAAATGCCCAGAAGACGGGGAAGCAAGAACACACTCTATGAACTTCTGGAAGCATATTTGAATGTACTCACAGTACACATAGAGCCCTGAGAACAAGTCCTGAGTTCAGTTTTAAACATCCCTACCATATGCTTCCGGTATTTTGTCCCATTGCTGGAATTAACTTCAAAATGACACATCAAACCAAAAAAAAAAAAAAAAAAACTCACTGCCATCGAGTCAATTCTGACTCATAGTGACTCCCTTTGGGTTTCCGAGGCAGTAAATCTTTATGGAAGTAGGTTGCCCAGCCTTCCTTCCTGCAGAGTGGCTGGTGTATTTGAACTGCCAACCTTCTGGCTAGCAGTCAAATGCCACTATGCCACCAGAGCTCAAATGATGCAGTCGATCATAATGTTTTGCCCACCCATTTGCATCATTCTTGACCACAGAATTCCTTTGTCCAACAGAGGGGCCCGGATACATCCTTAGGGGATGGCTCATGACTCAGGCTAGAAGGGTAGAGAACAGGGTGAAATTTTCCTTCCCGGAACTCTCCCCACCACTGGTATCCTGCCCCAAAGTGTCATGTGGCTGCTTTGGAAATGGACCTGCCGCGCAAAAAGGAAAGATTGCTATCAGAAAACCCTTCACCACAGTGAAGCTATACTTCGAGGGGTACGGCATGCCTTGGTGGTGTAAATAGTTCACCTGCTCTGAGGAGATCTGTTTGGATGCCTTCCTAGGGGGTGTGTAAATTATCTTCCTAGAAAAATACACTCAGCTCTTCATTTCAAAGTTCACTCACCCACCCATGGTAACTCTCAGACATTCCACCGGGAAATGCCAAAGGGAGATGGGTTTTGGTCACCATCAAAGCTTTGGGGATGACTCCTCAAAGGAATAGTGAGTTCTGGGTAATTTGATCCAGTGCCGGAACCTTACACCCTGAGGTGACGTTGAGTGTTACCTTGGAAGTATTTGCTGATCTCTGCTTTAGACTGAGAAAGGGAGTTCTATTTCTCTAATTAAATTCAGAACATGCTGGTTCCTTGCAGTCCCTCGTTGCAGACGGGGTCATCCATCTACTGGGAGTTGTCACTTGGTAAAAACCACATCCCCTCTCTTCCCAAGCATTTAAAACTTCCTTTTTGTTATGGTTTTTTTTTTTTTTTTTAACCTGTGGGCTGTTTCCTTCCCAACAGCTGGTTGTCGAATATCGTCAATGAAAGCCTTCTATTGTATCTTGAATTGCAACCGGATATCAACAGAGGCTCCTTGAAATACCTCAGAATTGCAGCCAAGACCACGTGGGTCATCATGGTAGGTCAATGGTTATTTTAAATTTTCCTCCTGGAAGAAAAAGACAAGGAAAACACACACACACACACACACACATTCACGATGTATTGTTATTTAAATATATAATGATTTGAGTATGTTGGTGTAGTGGTTAAGGCGTTTGGCTGGTAACCAAAAGGTTGATGGTTCCAATCTACCAGCTGCTCTGCAGAAGATGAGGCCGTTGGCTTCCATAAGGATTGGCAGCCTTGGAAACTCTACGGGGAAGTTCTACTCTGTCCTCTAGGGGCGCTGTGAGTTGGGATCCACTCTATGGTAGTGAGTTTGGTTTGGTTTTTGGGTTACCTACTCTTAGCCTCCACGGCACATAACAATAACAACTCTTGGCCATGGTGTACTGAGCAAGCCAGGCTCATTCACTGTTGGAATCATTATTAAGTGGGTACCTGTCCTGGAAATCAATTTGGGAAATTCACAATATCTGGGACTTTATGGGGAAGCAATGTCCCAGACCAGGGCCACACTGGAAGGGTGAGGATACCCCTTCCAACATTGTCTGTATCGTACAGCACTACAGGCAACCCAGGTTCCCTGCAAGGAGACAGTGGTGACGTCAGTTAGTTACCGTCTTTCCTCCTGTTGGAATGTTGGCAGCCGGCAGCTTAACCATTGCACCCCCGGGCTCCTGAGGGAATGTTATGCAGACGTTGAAAATGATGATTAGGAAAACTCCCGGGATTAGGTGGAAACCGTGAGCTATAAAATCACATTATGCACGACTCCAGAAAAGCCAGTGTATGAAACCATGTCGGAAGGGGGGGAAACGCAAGAAATGCTTATCGGCTTATTGGGGTGGCAGGGCTTTGGGTAGCTATCCCCCCACTATTCTGATTATATTGTATTTATAATGAAAAATATATACGTGAGTTTTTGAGTTATTGGCAGGGAGGTGTGCTCTGTGCTCCATAAAATGAACATTTCTGCTGCTTCTGAAGTGGGGGAAACCTGATT